TGGCGCCACAATCGGCGATTGTATCTGGCACAATTGGTGCAACTGTTGCACCCCTGCATGCTTGTCTTCATTGTGCCGCCTTGCCTTGTATCGCTCACCACAGTTTTGATGTGTAAAAACAAAAAACCTACATAGTATGTATTGATAAATGCTAATGAACTACTTATTGAAGTGAGTAAACAAAAGCACCAGATATATGTGTGCTTTTAAGTATATTTATATCATTTAACTATTGGTGACATGACCACAAATTAAAAAAATCTGTGGTGCCGCACAATCTTTTCAAGAATCGCCTGAACCACTCAATGGCTATTCAAAAGCGCTGTGCACCAGTGCGACAATTTCATCGAGTCAATACACTTGTGACATTGCAATACCCATCGACTAGACGTTCTTTCAAAGGTATACATGTGACAAAAAAATATTACATCATTGTCATAAAATACATGAAATGAGCAGACGAATAAGCAAAAAAATCATTCTGCTATGATACCAGAAATACTCACCACACGTTTAAGATTCACCGAAAGAACAACCACATCATCAAGCCGAGAATGCTCGACTGATTTTCCTCCAGCGACTCCTCTTGTCATTTTGTAACAATGCTTGAGAAGAACAGATGATTCCTTCAAAGTGAGTCATGCACTCATATAGTGAGTTGCCCTTTTTTCACATGCGTGACCAGAGGAACTTCTTGCAGTCAAATGCAGTTCAAGTCTGGTGGTGTGGCACCTGCCAGTTAGCCCAATACAGATATGGCCACATGAGAATGGGAACGGAATACACTGGTGATGTTGTGCAAGACGAAAATTGGTTAGCCTGGTCAACACTAGCACCTGTAGTGTGATTGCTGGACTTTTTACTATGCCTGTGTGCAGCTCAACAAATGCAAACAAGCTTGCTCTTTGCTGAAACAACATTCATGCCATAGCAAAATGGCCTTTTTTTCAAATCGTATGTGACGTACCGTGCACGTTTCAAACAACAGCCAACTTCTTAATTGAGCTCCCCAAGCCTTATCTTTCTATAGCCTGCGAGCAATAATTTTCTATTTGCAGATATGATGGCTGGTGGGAAACCAGCTGCACTCAGCTGAGCTACTTTGTCCAACAAGCTGTTGCCTCCTTTGTGGAGCCACAACTTTGTTAAGGTGTTCCTCAGGCCAGACAAAGCAATACAGTTTGGAACTAAAAGAAGTGCAAGGTTGGCTTCTTGGTTTTGGGATAATACTTTCAGCAAGCATGATGAGACTCAATAGTATAATTAGAAACCCAAAAACCAAAAACCGCAACAATAGTCAATTTTCAGCGACTCAAGGGCTACCTGCCCTACAATCTGTGCTCTCAGCACTGCGTCGCGGGCCATACGAACAGCTTGTTTTCGAAATTCGATGCCTTCTCCACACTTCACACGAGAAAGGGCATCATGTGACGCTTCAATGGCTGCCAAGTCACTGCGGCATCATAGGGAACGAACATGCCGATACTGCCGCGTGGGCAGCCCTTGAAGGAACACGAAAAAAAGCCATACCACTTTCGAGGACCGATGCTGCCAGTAATCTTCAACGACTTGCGCGTGAAATCACGTTTTCACTATGGTGCCCACCAAGCATCGATACGAATCATCAACACCACCTGTCCTGTTTGATGGCTCTCTGCATGCCCACTGGACTTGACCGAAGAGAAGCCACCCTTCTTCATCGCTTATGGCTAGGAGTGGCATTTACAAAATCTTATTCCTTTGTCATAGGAATGGCCGACAACGCTCTCTGCGATGCCTGCCATTGCGAAGAGACGCTACACCACATCCTGTGTGACTGTCCGCTGTATGAAATCCAGAGACAGTCACTGGCGTCCGCTTTTGCGCGCATCGACAACAGCCAAATGTCTGTGGACACTATTCTGTCAAGTGCCCGAGAGAAGACATTGCAACAGAAGGCGACGAAAGCTCTGTTGAAATTCCTACGCGACACAGAGTTGAACAAGCGACTGTAACAGCGATGTCACACACCGCGAAAGACAAGACTTGACTATGACTGAGTGTGCAAGCGTGTGCTGCCAAATGTGCTGTTTCTCTCTTCCCTCTCTGCTCTCTTTCATCTCCCCCATCCCTCTCCCATGTGCAGGGTAGCAAACCGGCTGCCTATAGGCTGGTTAACCTCCCTGCCTTTCTTTTCCCTCTATTTTCCTTCCTTCCTTCCAAAAACCAAATGATTGATGCCACTATGATTTCACACGTGAACTTGAGCCACATTCGTTGCTCCTTCAAATGTTTCAAAATGATGAATACCTGCTAGGCGCACCCGTTTTCTTCAAAAAATATCGGGTACCACACCACTTCCCGTGAAATACCACAAAAGTTCGTTTCTGCTGCCTTGTGCTTGGACAAATAAATGTGCCTAAAAATTGAAACCACCCTTTGCCCCATGTCGCCTCCAGGCCGCTGGACAAATAGGTAAGTTACTTCCCCAAGCCACAAGTGTAAAACACAGATTAGAAGCCGAGTAGCTTTGAGAAGGACTCGGTCAGAAATGTCAGAGGCATTACTAAAAACAGTTCATCATCTTCAACAACTATGCAGACTTGAACATATTTCAACAACAATTCATTTGAAATTTCCAACAGTTGTCATATTGCCATACTTTCAACTCGAACACTTGCATTACAGCCAACATTACATTTGGCTGACGAGTGACAGTATGCAGTTATGTATGCAGTTATGTCGAGTAAGTACGCATACTACTATTTGTTGTACTATTAGATGTATAGTCAAACACGGATATATCGAACTCGAAGGCGATTGCAAATTAGTTCAATATATGAAAAATTCAATATAAAAAATAGAGGCCCAGTGAGCTTACCTACAGCGGATCATCACCTACAATAGGCGCACTCAAGATTGACAACTAATTTTGCACACACGCCGCAACAAAACGATTTATTTGCGAGAAAAAAAAAAAAACCTAATCTTAACCTACTTCTTCATTTTTGAAATGTTGACGCTAGTCTTGATCTTATCGAGGATGTCCAGGTGGGACTGCCCGGCTTCCTCCATGTGACCGATACAACAGCGAATGATGCCGAACGCTGCTGCCACATCAGCGGTGAAATACGCGGTGAAAATCACATGAGCTGCCCGCTTCCATGAGGTCGTCCGCGGACACTTTGTGTGGAACTGCTGCCGGGAAGCGGGATGATAACTCGCAAAACGTGTCGCCTATGTGCTTGTCGTCTTCACCAGTTTCCGCAAGTTCCGCCGTCTCAAAGCCTGCCTTGCGGAAGCAGTTGACCACTGTGCCAGCCTTCATGTCTCGCCAGGCATTGAAGATCTCCACAGGAGAAAACATAGCAGAGATTTCTGGCCACTCCTTCGTCATCCACTGCTGGGTGTTCTGGCTGCTGACAGCTTTGCTTTCGCCAAAATTGGTTTTGCCAACGATAATGTACTGCTTAAATTGTGAAGCCACCTGCTATTGGCGAAGTTGTTTAACCGAGTGCAGTGACAAACCATTTGGCCTTGGCGATCAGCATCGGGCCATACACCAGAATGTTCTTCGCGCACACTTTTAAAAACCAGGCATAGTGTGTCTTTTCTATATTCCCATGGGCAGAACACACATGACAGGCTCCGCCCGTTCGTCGCTCTGCCACCTTTGCCGTGATATCTGCTTTGTTTTTCAACAAGGTACTTTGAGTGCTCCGTGGTATCCTGAAGTCGTCCGCGGCAGTCGAACATTTCTTAACCGCCTAAACATGCTGAATAGCCTTCAAGTTCGTCGCAAAGTCAAGGGTCTTGCGCGTATTGACGCTGGCCATAGCTACACAAGAAGTTGGCAATTCAAGGAGTCCGCAGCCGCTTTGCACACCACGCCCGCAAAAGACAAATGGTGCACATGCGGCGGCACGTAGGCAATGCGGCAGCGAAAGCAACAAAGCGCTCGTGAGGCAATGGCCACCTGCGAGGGCAACAGCACGAGGCACGAGCTGTGGTTGGCCGATCAAAACTCATAAAACAGCAACAAAAAATAAAAGAAAAGGCGAAAGGAGGAAGATGGCGGCTCCTTCCTGCCTTCTCTCCAAGACGACGGATACGCAGAGAAAGCATGAGAGAGAGAAAGAGAAACGGGGGGAAAAAAACCGTTCCGCAAGTTGGCAATAGCGCAGTCTGAGCCCTCTCGCCCCTACCTTTTTTCGAGCATTTCTGGTTTTGGCGAAGGCATTTTGGCAGAGGCGTCGCATCGCCCGGCGGAAGTCGCCGGGTAGTGTGCATGCTAAAACATGCTATCCAGGTCTCGCGCCGCCATGAAGCCGCGCTGTCGCGGAGATCGCGGGGGTGGGGGGGTGGGTGTAGTGCATAAGTGCACCTGCCAGCTCACGTGGCATCCGATATATGAGAAGGTGGGTAAAAATACCTTTCAATATAAACGTGTGAGTTTCTATACTTTTACAAGGGTACTTAAAGAGGATAACTTTTGAATTCGATATACCTGAAAATTCTATATATGTGGGTTTGATATAACCGTGCTTGACTGTAATCGTTTAAAGCATAGACACTGTACTTTGAATGAAACAGAAGTACTCAAGAGTAACCTCTGTAACCAGTGTTCAAATAATCACTCAGTCTCTATGGAAAGGCCCATATATAAGTGGGTTCACCTGTATATATTGACACAACAAGCCTTTCCACATCACAATTTTATAGCTGAGCAATGAACCCTTTACAGTGTGATTCTGACTCCATTGTCAGCATATTACCTGCAACCAACTCTAAGCACATTAAAAATAACAAACTGAAAGTGAAACATTAATAAAATTGCGAAACAAGAATAACTTCCTGAATGCAGAGAGAACTTTCGGAGAGCTGACAATAATTATAGCAGGACAGTCAGAAGCTGATGACACAGTTGCATCCGAAAGAAAGAATGAATGCCTCAAGTTAAATTAATGCTGATGCATCCAACATGGAATAATCGGGAGAGTTTGAATGGAGAAATAACTGACCTTGGGCACATCTTCGATTTCATCTTCGCCCGAGTCAACATCGTCCAGGTCGTCCTCAAGTGCACTCACTCGTGGCTCCAGCTCCCCGCTTTCCTCCAGCACTTGCCGCTTCTGCAGGGTTCATTAAATGTTTTTCTTTTGTTCTTTATTTTTAGAACACACGACTGTTTCTAAAAATAAAGACATGACTCGCGCAGCTTAGCACCGATGAAAAGTTTCAAGGCAATGTCTTGATTTACTTTCTCCACACATGAGTTGTGGGTACTGCATGATTTTCGGTGTTTTTGTCACCCATTAGTTTCAGACTTCTATAACCTACATTATGCAAATACAACTACAACAAAAGCTTTTTAATTTCCACCTGTCTGATTTAAATTGTTTGATCATTCAATGTTTTTTCAATAATTCTATGACATGGTACAGCACAGCTTCATGGAACTCCATGTATTAAGGAGTCAATTAATTACAGTTATTTATATCGCATGACAATGCAATCTAGCATGGATATCTTCAACAACACAATGCTATAGCTAGCTCTTGCAATGGTGGTAACTTTCTCGACGAAGCGAGAAGTAGCGTGTCACACACTAGCTAGCCACCACCACCAACAATAGAAACATCAGCTACAACACCCCAGAATCGTGAATAACAATATCTGGCGTTTTATGTCCCAAATCAACGATATGATTCTAAAAGACAATGTAGTGGAGAGCTTTGGAAATTATGACCAACTGGTGTTCCTCAACGTGCACTGACATTGCACAGAACACCCAAGCCTACCATTTTGCCTCCACCGGAATGTGGCCGCCACGATGGAAATCAAACCTAGCACCTTCAGGTCAGTTGACGAGCACCATAACCACCTCTCCATCGCAGCGGACTAGAATCTTGAAGACTATGTTATTTTTGTTAACTGAATGGTTGGCGAGTATTGACAGCCCACTAAAGCACACATAAACACGCAAATTTACGAGTTTGCGGTTTATGCTCGGCAGCTGTCCAGCATTTCCCACAGCTGCGATGGTCAAGCAAGTGCGAGAGATGTCATATGACTGCTGAAACCTGTGCAAGCTGTATAACTTGCTCCAATCCGACACCAATAAACTGTTCTGGCCATCTTTCAGAGCACATGAAATGTCCTGCTGCAATGTGACGACCACATGAAAACAGATGTTGCCGGTTCACGAATTCAGCTTGTTAACACGGATATAATTGTCACTGCCCGTTGCAATTGCATGAGTTGTTCTGCTTTAAAGACTTGGTGTGCTTTGCCGAAAGCTGCAATGCCATATCGCTTTGAAGCAGTAACATTAGTGAAAAATTGATGTTGATAGTTTCTGGCACACACAAACATGCAAGCTGGACAAAGAAAAGCAAAACATGTGGAACTAACTCAGACTCGCTCATAAAATATTTTCTGCCTTTGGGACTCGCTCCTACTGAGACTCACAGCTCTAATTAAGTCTGAGTAAGCCGACTTGTGAGTACGTTAGCATACAACCGGCTTATTTGAACTTGATGACACTGCTCCTTAAAACGAATATCTCGTATATTCGGAGCTCTACTTGGCACCTTTTGATCTCATACCTTCAAATATGAGATATCAGTGGTTACAATCCAGTAAGCACTCACATGAAATATTTTTATCACAAATTCTCGAGAAAGAGTTTTTAGGGTGGCAGGTAGGTCATGACACTTCCTCCTAAGTAACTCATGCTTGTGATCAATATATATATTCAGCTGGCATAATAACACTGGTGTTTTGAAGTATGTGTTAGTGGGGATGAGTATCAACGTGGGCTAAACTATTTCATTATTGCAAAAAAATGGCCATTTTTCATATGTCAGTAGCTGTAAAAATGTGCACAAATGTCAGCAGCTACACACTTGCAGTTGATGAGACAACTTGAGACCGTAAACTAAACTAACCAATGACGGCTGTGAATATCTCAGGCCGACGCAAAATATCGTCGCCATCAAACTTGAAGCTGAGGTGCTGTCATCCTTGGACTCTAAGCTCGTCTTCACTCAATTCAGGTGCGGTTGCATGAAAGTTTTGAGCGGCGCATCATTTTTTCAGCACACGTGCGCACCCATGTGCACTAGTAGGAGCGAATGAGAGTGACTAGTGACATCAGTAGCAGCCCTCTGTATGATATAACAAAACAAGCGAAATCAAAGCTGCTTAAAACCGACTGAGAAGGTCACCTCCACACTTCAGACATGCGGCGTACCTTCGGAAATATTACATAATAACTTATTTCCAGTGTACACTGAGACACGGACAGTATTACTTCGTGCAGTATTACTTCGGGAGTATTTTTAGTGGAATAAATTTTCCCTTAATCCTAGCAACAGCTATCTGCTAAATAGCTGGCATAAAGTTCTGGCAATTATTATAGCTCAACACTGTCAGATTGTGAAGATGACACCTTAATTTGATAATTGACTTGCAAAGGTTCTTTTGATTACAGAACTTGTCTTACTGTAGCATAACCATGACTGGCACGGACTTTTGCGAAGTTCACCAGCCAAGTGCATTTCCCCCACAACATACGCACATTGGTTCACGCAAAGGTCTGTCAAAAATCACTATCTTGCCAAAACAACCAAATTCGAATTGATTCTGAAAGTTGAGTGGCTGGACTAACTACTGGGTGCATGAGAAACGTAATAAACATGTCGAAATCGACGATCCAAAGCGTCTATTACCGGTGATCGGTCTGAATAGGCGTGGTAACAAAAGAGTTAAGGGGGAATGGACAGCAGAGACAGGTGTGCAGCTACTATACTACTGCCTATCGCTTAGTTATTTCTAAAGCAAACTCAAAAAGTTTTTATTTATTTATTTATTTATTTATTTATAAAACCCTCAGGGTATATTTGTACATTATAGAGGGGAGGGGCGGAAATACAGATGAACAACAAAATAACTACAGGACTATGTAAACACATTTAAGATGAAGATAAATATAATGATGAAGTTTTGCATGCAAGGAGTACACTTTAGTATTACACTTTATTAAAAAAAACAGCTGAACTAGAACCACAAAGAATACACCAAACAGTCAATAACACGCGATTAGTACAGTTCACGATTGTGAGTTTATTAGTAGCTTTAATGGACATCTTACTAGGTGTTTGGGAAATTTGGCAATAAAATACAAAGCCATTATTTTATAAAACCCTCAGGGTATATTTGTACATTATAGAGGGGAGGGGCGGAAATACAGATGAACAACAAAATAACTACAGGATGATGTAAACACTTTTAACATGAAGATAAATATAATGATGAAGTTTTGCATGCAAAGAGTACACTTTATTATTACACTTTATTAAAAAAAAACAGCTGAACTAGAACCACAAAGAATACACCAAACAGTCAATAACACGCGATTAGTACAGTTCACGATTCTGAGTTTATTAGTAGCTTTAATGGACATCTTACTAGGTGTTTTGGAAATTTGGCAATAAAATACAAAGCCATTATAAAAATAATTAATATGTATCATTTTATTATTTTCATTTTTGAAAGGAACATTTGTGAAAAAGTATTCTGCACGCAAAATTTGAAATCTTCCCTGGTTATTACATGTATTCATCTGAACCAAAATTATATTTGCAGCCATGGCCATTCTCTAGTCAAAAATTGGGATGTTTGAATAGTAGAATTTTAGGACTTGTCTCAAGGAAAAACTTTGCAAAAATACAATTCTGGTTGCAACACTATTATTTTGCTTCAGAATAGACACATGCTAAAGAAGTCACAAAAGTTTGCACTTGATAGCTGCAGTCGTTACAGAGAAAATGTTCTTTTTCTGACAAAAAGTAGTGTTTGGAGAAAACACCATTTAAAGTTTGAGTTTCTGCGGTGCGGACACGGGATCAGGCGCATCAGGGGCCGTTTATTAATGCTTTCCACTGTGTGTAAAAACGTGTCACTTCGTGAAAGCACTTGTCAGTAATAATGGAATACCATGCTATGAAAACATAAAAATCACATTTTCGGTTGAGTTTGTCCTCCATCCCCCTTTAAGTGTGATGTTGAAGTTGAGTAGGTAGAACCATAGATCAGCAACAAAGTGTACAGCTTATTCAGACTCGCTCAAGAAATACATTTTGGAATTTGGGCTCACTCGACTCACTCAAATTTTTCTCAACTGCGCTCACTCGGATTTAAACTCGCGAATAGATTACTCACCCTGCCTCTTTCAGAGTCAGACTCAAGGCTTGATCCGAGTCTGAGTGAGTTTCTCGATCTATGCGACATCTACTGTATCCGTCGCAAACATAACATTATAGTTATTTTGATACCAGATAAGTGATACACAATCACAGACATGATGAATTAACTCATTTTTAAGTGCTTTGATAGTCAGTCAATTAGATGCTGGCATGCAGGCAGAAATTTGAGTGCCTTCTACTTTGCTTGTCAATGGCTGCCAGAGCCACCTTACAGTGAATCAAAATAAAGAGTGCAGGCTCTGCGGCACAAAAATCTCATGCACAAGATCGGCCGATTAAAAAGAAAGATCAGAACTCTTGTTGCAGTAGAAAAAAGTGTCCTTTTTTTCAACCAAAAGTGTTTTACGCTGAAGCCCAAAAAGAATTGAGGAATGTCACTTCCATCACTGATATGGCATAAAAAAAAGGACCAAAGTAGCTAAAGAGAGAGTTGCAGAAATTTGTGATACCCCTGCAGCATGCAGTGTGCGTGCCTTTTTTTTATCTACAGTTGACCCCAAATATATTTAGCTTATGAAAAAATTGAAATTAGTTTGAAAATGAATAAGTTTGCATACTACTTTTAATTATTTTTTTTATTAGCGATGCTAATTCTAGTGACCAAGTTGGCTTCATGGCACTGCTTCATCCTTATGTATGCATGCACGGCAATATACTCTAACCTCAATATAAAACACACATATAAAAAAATATCAGTTCTAACAAATTAAATAAGAGGTTGTTTTGCAATAGATAGAGTGTTAGGAATAACCATTATGAGAAATTTTTAGATATAGAGTTGAACCCCTTTACTATGGGCATGCTTTGGGCAGCAATTCTTGTCTTTTATGTGAGATAATTTTATAAGCAGGGTAGCATGTATG